TCTCTTAAAATAACTTTTTTTTTTCTAAGAATTAATGTATGACAAAGTGATAACTAACTATCATGAACAAAACAAAATAAATTGATAATTTTGTATTATAAAAAGTATTTCCTTTTAACATTAAAATATAAAAGGTAAGACAATATTTATTTATCCATTCTCGTACCGGGAATTAAACCCGAACCTCCTGGCTGAAAGCTAGGTATCCTAGCCACTAGACCATACGGTGACCATTAAATTTTAAATTTCAAATTGCTAAGAGAAATAACATGAAAGTACTACAAGTTTCATTTTACTAGCTTTGTTAATGCTCTTATATTATCTTTTGTTTTGGTTCATCAACCATTGGCCGTATATACTGCCTTTGCATTAAAATATACCATAGAACTTAGCAACAAAAATAATTTATATATGTAAAATCTTTCATATCAAGAAGGCTTTTCACGTTTTTAAGTTATTTAAAAGATTGCTTAAACCAACGCGCAACGGTGTCAACAATTTATATTCAGCCCTTTTTTACTTCCTACTGCTGGGTACTGGCCTGGTGCAAATTTTTAGTGACAAACCCCTGGGTTGTGATTTTTAATATGTTTTATGGCTTAAAAAATATATTTTGTCTGGAAAAAGAATGAGTTGTCCACCACATAGGGTCTCCTACTATCTCTAATATAGTTGTCATATAAATTACTAGCAACGTCCCTAGACAACTAACAGTAAATAAATAAATATATTGGGACATTTACACACAGCACCATCTAGTTCCATGGTAAGCTTCAAGGCTTGTGTTATGGATACCAGATAGTTGATACACTACACATATATTTATTTATTTATTACTAATATTATATATAACTTTAAATACATACATATTATAAATATAAATACCCATGACTGGAGTACAAACATTCATGCTCATCACACAAATGAATGCCACCAGCGGCACTCCAACCTGCGACCGCTGGTACAGCAAGTAGGGTCAGTACAAACTGAGCCAAACGTGCCGTCAAATAATAAAAATATAAAACCACCGATAAAGTAAATGAACGGCCATGTTTCCCGAGTTTAATTAAAATTGTTATAATTGATGACAATAAGCACTTTTGCATTGAAAAAAAAATTAGCACTTGACGGTAATATAGCTTACTATCAGTGAAAGAATTTTCAGAATCGGATTTGTAGTTTCAGAGAAACTCCCTACATACAAACTTACATACTCTACCTCTTTAGAGTATTAGTGTAGATTGACCACCTATTGGTTTAACTAAGTTCAATAGGTCTTGTTTCAATGCTTTTATATGTATATCTTGAAAGGAAATTTCTGTTCCCTTTCAAGTTTTTTTTTATTGAACTTCTTATAAAATGAGACTGGAAGCGCCAAATGCCTAAAGCGATCGCCCACTTGGTCTTACAGCAAATATGTCGTTGGAAATACGAAATCGTCATTTTAACGAGATTTTTATTACTTTTAGTATACCTACGTATATACGTTGGTATACTATGTATTATATATTCCTCTGTATTATACCTATGTATAATATATTATAGCTATGTATAATAGTATATACGTTATATAAAAATGTAAAAGTCATTTTTCGAGTTCCATCGAAATGAGTTTGGACGAAAGTACCAAATTATGAATTACTCATATACTCTTACTCGCATACTCTTGCTCCACTCGGGGTCGTCCCTAGTTACGTTTGAACGTTGAGTATTCGTATATCGATTTCTTAGATACGATATTTTTCCGCAATAAAAAGTCTCCTATATGTTGACCCGGATAACCAGTTAACATCATACACAATTTTATCAAAATCTGTCCAGCGGTTTTCTCGTGATGCGGTCCAAGACTGACAGACAGATAGACAAAAAATCTAAAAACTATAGATTCGGCCTCTGTATCCGATAATAATGACTATTTCCATAATATTTTCGAAAAAATATTATAATCTAATTCGACTCTGTTAGAAATTTATTATATGTATAGCTGAATAATATATATTTCTTACAAACTAAAAACAATTTGTATATTCTAATTCTCTTCTAATTTGTAATTCCAAGTAGCGTAGCGTATGCTAAATATACTCTGGGAATAGACACAAATTGATTTTTTTCGAATTCCCTCGATCGGTGTGATCTCATGACTTTACATGCATATCACCTTTTATACATCCTTAGCTTCCTTGATTTATCTTCACTTCTATATTGTGTAAGTTTTAGTTACATCTTCATAGTTTCCGGATAAAAGCTCAACATATTTTAGTGATATTTGACTATGGGGATAGTTTAGTTCCTTGAGTAAATATATTTTCATGCGAGCGAAGCCACAGCGCAAAACTATAGAATCAATATTATTGTATACTGAATATGGACTTTAGATCGCAACCTAGTCTGTAACTGACAGCACCTGAATGTTTACAAGGAAACCCATTTGCAAAATGCACAGTAACGATATATAGTTTTAATAGGTAATGCATGTCATCGCCAGTTGAAAGTTATACTTAAACCGCCAGTTGAAAGTTACTGCATCACTCCTTTAGTTGTAATAGTAAATTTTTACTGGTTTTAAAAGATCAAAGGTAAGTATATTTTTAATAATAATAAATCTACTAGCATATTGATACAATAAGTTAAAATCTTCAAAGATTTCTGTGAAAAAGATTATATTAAATTTAATTAAAAATTAAAATAACATACAAAATTCTAAAAACTAGAGATTCGGCCTCTGTATCAATAATAATAACAATTTCAATAAGATTTTCCAAAAAAATATTTAATGTACAGATTCGACTCAGAATTTTATTATAAACAATGTAACTTAGTGTCATATGTATATTTGAATAGTTTAATATAATACTGATATTTTAAGTAATAAATTGACTATTTTTCAACAATTGCCAATTTCAAACTTATTACTAAAAAGGAATGACCGCAGACGCTATTTTATTTCGTAATCATAAAATAAGATTAGTAATTGATTTACTTGACTACTTATTTCTTATTCAATTTACTTATTTGTGTTTATTTTGATATAATATAATCATTTTCTTATTGGTAATAACACTAAAACTCGTCAATAGGTAATTGTTAAATGAAAAAATATCGCTTGACAAACAGAGGAGAAAAGTTACTGAACTGTTTTGTATATAGATATTAGATGTAGCATTTGATTAGGTATATTCGTATATTTTAGTATAAAAAGTATGTACCTATTGTAAGCGATGCTTTTGTCACCAAGCTTTGTAGTATTTTAAATTAATTTTTAGTTTAATAAGATAAATCATTGTAAAACAGTCCCCAACATTATTTTTCACATACGAGTATATCGGAAAACAATTGAAGTCGGCGTACATTTATGTATGTATGTATTCAGCCCTTCTTAACGTCCCACTGCTGAGCACGGGCCTTCCTTCAATATAAGGGGGATCAGGCCATAGTCCACCACGCTGGTCAAGTGCGGGTTGGCAGACTTCACATGTCTGTCGAAAACTTGCTAAGTTCTCTAAGACATGCAGGTTTCCTTGCGATGTTTTCCTTCACCGTAAGGCAAATGGTAATCATATTGAAAATGATTCGCACATGAAAATATCAGAGGTGCAAGACCCGGGATTTGAACCCGCTTCACTCGGTTATCCAAGCGAGCGCGTCACCACTGGGCTACCACTGCCACGAACATTTATACTTAAAAGTAATTTAATACTATATAATATATAATTTTTTTCAGAGGGTATAGCGTTAATTAAATATTATCCATGTTCCTTTCAAGCCTCGCTAAGCTCAAGTAAACTATTTCTATACAAAAAAACTCATCGCTGCGTGAAAAAAAGATGCGAAAAAACCAACAAACAAAAATATCGCAGGGATAAATACGTTAATATAACCTGTCTTTTATATTCTGTCACGTTAATATAAGCTGTTTTGTGGTCTAGTGGCTGGCATATGCGCCTGCAAATTCAGAGGTCGTGGGTTCCGTCATCCCACTAATCCTAGATGTTACCTACCAAATATTAAATTTTATCTTTTTCCGTACAGTAGATTCGGAGCCTATACGTTTCAGGATAGACAGACACACAAGTGACCCTATAAGGGTGCCAATTTTCTATTTGGTGGTCTTTAAAATGCTCTATAATTAAGCCATAGTCGATCGCTAATAGGGTATTACAAAATCTAATTTATAAATACAAGACGAGATATTTGAGAGATGGTGAGAATGGTTTATTTCATTACGACAATAGAAAACTATAAATCATATGGATACGACAACAACTTGATAACGTAGCAATAAGGAAAACAGCAAATTAAATAGTATATTTCATCACTTACTAAATAAATTAAATTTAGCTGAGAATAAACTAAAAGAAGAAATAGAAAATACTTGCAACTTTAAAAAAGTTTACACAAAAAAATTAAAGTTTTTTAGAGCTTGGAATATTGCTTCAATATGATAAAAACTATAGCAACAAGATCTCTAATCAAGATCTTTAAATAAGTAAAGGCTATAGTAATTTTATGGAATGCATTCTAAAATTATTGATATAAAGAGCCCTTTATTTTCATTTAATACTAACTTGTTATTAGAGATAATGGAAAAAAATCCATTATACTAATATATACATAAAATTTAATAAATGAAAAATTAGAAAACTAGATTAAAAAATCTATAAACATTTATTGAAGTTGAATTACACGATTTCATCGCTGTATTAAATTGATTATATTTGTAACAATTAAACAAACGATACCGATAGTTGGGTAAAATAATTTTAATGAGAGCATTATATTGCTGTGGACAAAGGACTAGTTAAATGTTGATTGCGATATCCATTCTATTCTATCATCTGCCCGAACCGAAGAGAATCGTTTAAAAACAGTTTATATAAATAATAGTGACTAAAGCATTGCTAACAGTCAGTGCCGCGACGTCGTCACCGCCAGCCGTAACCAGGCCGTGTTTAAAAACATCATATCGAGATATGATACTATGAGAATTTTCTCATATGAAAATGTCGTTATCAATTTGGATTTTACTATTTATCGCGGCTAACTGCGACTCTTCAAGTATAAGAATTAAACAGAATGTGACGAAACGTGAAGTAGACAGTAATTTTTTTCCAAATTGGGTGCCTTTTAAAAATAAACATGGAGACGAACTGGGTGAATTTATAGATGTTAAGAAGCCTAAGCCAAAGAAAAGGCTGGCGCTTCCCGTCAACTTCGTTTTAAAGGCTGTTGCATCAGAAAGTGACGATTACTACGATAAAAGTCAAGGAGACGGTGAGGATTACTATGAAAAAAAAGAATGGTCCGATTTAAATAGACCTGCTCAATCCGTTGATGTTAAAATACATCCGTCTAATATTTCAGACATAGATGGTATAGTAAACATTATAACGAAACCGAGTAATAGCCCTATTCTTAAGGCCCTAAGTGGTAGACTAAAAACTAGTAAACAAAAGGTCAAAGAAAAATCTAAGCGTCAAAGTATAGATAAAGATTTAGAAGTTAAAAAATTAGAAGAAGTTAATGAAAATGTAGAATCTCAATCACAAAATGATGTAAGAAATGAAGAAAAAAATGAAGACGAACTTAAAGATGAGGAATTTACAAATGACAATAAAAAGGAAAATATTGAAGAAAGTGATGATGATACTGAAAATGAGAGAGAAGAAAACGTAGAAAAACACAACTCGAACAAAAAAGATGAAATTAGTGACAAAGAGAAAGAATATAGTGATGATGAAGAAGATAGTACTGAAAAACAAAAAGAAGAAGAGGCAAAAGCTGAAGAACAACGACAATATGAAGAAAAAAAAGTGAAAATACTTAGTAGTGTTGACGAGTTAAAGGAAAGACATGCAAAAGAACAACAGAGTATTTCAGAAAAAGTAAAAGAAGAGGAAATGTTTAAAGATGAGTTAGATAGAGAATTAAAAAGGAGCGGTAACCATAAACATGAAGATTATGACAAGTATACTCATACTAATTCAAAATGGAAAAAGTTAACTGATGATATAGATTCCTCAGATGAAGATGAGGAGCCTGTTTTTAAAAATAAATATGAATTTCACCCATACAAAAGTACAACAACTTTTACAACAACAATTACGACAACTTTACCCCCTAAAAAGCAAACTACGCAAAAGCATAGAAAAGAAAAAACTGTAGCTACTGGAAAGCTATCAGTCTTTAGGAATCCAAACTTATATACAATACATGATGAAGAATATGATACAACAACTGTTAAGCCTACAAAACCTAAAATACAAAAACCTCGAAAATTTTCTTCAAGATATTCAGCGGCTGACAAAGATAATGTACGGATATCGTTGGTTCCAGCTGATGATTCAGAGGAAGGTGAACCAACACTATTTTATCCAAAGAAACGTGAAAATATGCGTAAATCAAAGACCGCAACTCCTATACCTGATACCACTGCTGACTCAAGTCAGGAGACAAGTTCCCTGACAGAGACGAGAATAAGTTCTGTTTTATCGGGAATAAATCCATCAGAACCAGGACCAACAGGCACTGGACCATCAGACACTTTTATATCGGCATCAAATACTGCTCCATCAGATGACGTTGCACCAGATACGACAGCATCTGACTCAAGTGATTCCACTCACGCTTCTTCTAAGAAAGAAGAGGCAAAAGATGGTGATTACCATCGAGAGAAAGGTTAGCCTATTGAATTAATATTTATATAAAGGACTCTTCATTTATACTACACCGATATGCCTTGATTCATTATGCTTTAAAAATTAAGTAAAGAAATTATTTACATAAGATTGAAATTCGATATGATTCATTATGGAACACAAAAAAATATATTCAAAATTTTTAAACCATTTAGTGCTAAATTTGTTTGTGTGATTTGATTATTTGCATACTTCGACAGATATTTTTTATATCAATATAATTAGCTACAGAAATCAAACTTGAGACCACAAATCGATTACGTTAGCAACTAAACACGAAAGAAAAACTAAACTATCTAAAAAAATTGAGGCGTCTACAACTTTAGTCTCTCCCGTAACCATGTTTGCTGTAAAGCATTCGAGACGTCGGGAACCAGAATATAAAATAAAACCACGACAACATCCGAAAAAATATTTCATTAATAATGTAAAATATTCGCTAAAAAGTATTGTCTAAAATTATTTCGCACTCAAATAAAATAAACGCTGAACATAAATATCTAAGTATATATATATATATATATACATCCTTTTTACAACTTTCCCAATTTACATCATCCCTTCAAATCTATTTGACCTATGAAGTATCTGGGTAAATGTCGTTCGCAATACTCTTTGGATACTGGACCAAAATAGACGATTCTCGAATTTGGGAATTGAAATTTTATGGTTGAATGTAATATTTTTCGGTCTGAAATGTTCATGACATATGCGAATACGTAATACATTATATCGCTAACAAGGGTTTTCGGTAACGTATATTCAAAATCATCGTTTAAACTCTTCAATAACAGATGCTTCAGAACAACATAATTTCTATTAACTTAATATTTTCAATATTTATTTTCAGTAATTTTGAGTGCAATAAATGGTAAAATAGTAATTATTTACATATCTATGCATGCCTATTACTACGCGGATTTTGTTCACAATTTCATGGGGTTTTTTTGTGCGGAACCCAGATTTTTCTGAAATAAAAGTAGACTAAGTTACTCCTTATAACATCAGGTATCTGCCTGTGAAAGTCTCGTAAAAATTGGTCCAGCCGTTTCGGAGATTAGCCGGAACAAACAGATTTTTTTATTAGTACCGTATATGCTTTCATTTGCATTTAGTAAAAATCTGTTATTTTTACATTACAAACAGACACTTCAATTTTATTTATCTGTATAGATGTATACAAAACAGTATTTGTTACTTAGTTATTTTTATTGTGTTTAGATGAATGTTGTGGAGTATAAGTCAATATATTATTTACGTTAGAACGTTATGATAAAAAGTTAGAAATCCTACTTTTTTTTAATTAATTTCAAGAAAGGAGGAAATCCTTTGTACGTCTGTACAATATTTTTCATAGTCGATAAAATCACTTTATTATATTTCTAATTAGTTACCCGAATTGGCTTTAGAATAGTAATTAAACGATCAAATTATAGTAATTACGATGTTAAAACAGATTTTTTAATTAATATATTAAAAATTGTATATAATGGTACACATAATATATCGTACGAGTATTATTTATTCCTATATAGGCCAAAATCTCGTTGTTTCACAATTCGTAAGCTTATTCATGATTACGTGACCGTTTCGTAACATTAGTTATAAAGGTGTATTTTTAAAACTTTCAATAAGTCTGTATCAAAAGTCTTGAACAAATTCACCTCTCAGGTTTCACAGACTCCAACACTTTTATACAACCAGAACGATATTATGTCGAATACCAGCTTATGTGCAGGCTTACAACTAAAAAGGACTTGCAAAAGAAAGATTTTATACATACACTAGCGACTCAACCTCGCTCCGCTCGGGTTCGTCTCTACGTTTTGACGTTTAGTATAAATTTCTCAGAGATGAGATATTTTCCCGTAGTAAAAAGTATCGTATATGTTGACCCGGATAACCAGCTATCATCATACCATATTTTAACACTAGATACAAAACTACAAACTAAACTACAAACTAGAGACAAAAATTCTAATAACTATAGATTCGGCATTGGTATCGATAATAATGCTTATTTCAATAAGATTTTCCAAAAAATATTTAATGTACAGATTCTGCTCAGTTACAATTTTATTATATGTATAGATTTCTTGTGATTTCGCTTTTGAAAAAATATAGCGTCATTATTTTAACGGAACTTTCACTGACTGAAAGTAGCATAAGCTATATACCAGAAAAGTGTTTTTAAGACAAATTAGATTGGAGTTGAGTATTGGTACAGAAAGAGAAGAATTAAGAAGAAGAATTAAAACGAAATGCTGTTCGTTGGTGGTTGACTTGACAACTTATGATTTATGAATTGAAAACTTATGAAAATTGAAAAAAATTAAGTCTGGTTTGCTTTTTCTTGCATGAAATCAAAGTGTCAGGGTGACGTCTCTCTCAGATCATATAGAAGATATTTAAATTCTATCGAATAGTTAAAATGACTATAAATAACATTTTCGTACTCGATTATACAAGTATGTTGGTGACAGTGAGATGACATTGAAGCTGACTGAAGGGTCGCTATCTATACATATAATAAAATTGTAGCAAGCCGAATCTGTACATTAAATATTTTTTGGAAAATCTTATTGAAATAAACATTATTATAGATACAGAGGCCGAATCTATAGTTTTTAGAATTTTTGTCTGTCTGTCTGTCTGTCTGTCTGTCTGTCTGTCTGTCTGTTACCGCATCACAGATAAACCACTAGAGGGATTTTGATGAAATTTCGTATGGTGATAGCTGGTTATCCGGGTCAACATATAGGATACTTTTTATCGCGGGATAATATCTCATTTTTGAGAAAAAATATAAAAACTGCAATATAAGAGTAAACTAATATGTAAAACCTAAGAATTTGGTTTTTGGTGATCTGAACGCAGGCGAAGCCGCGGGAAATGCTAGTTAGAATAAAAAAAGTAACGTTTTGCTACGTAATGAGCTTAGAATATAACGATGCGTCATAAAATGTGTGGGAAGGAATATATACTTCTTTTACATTATTTCTAAGAAATTTTTCTGCCCATAAAATATATGGGTTTTAAGTTAAAGGTTTAAATGTACCTGCAGTACCCGCGTCCGCGTTCAAACTTCCGATCGCTATCAAACTTCAAAGGATAGCTAATCTGATAATTTCATCAAAATCCAGCCATTTTGGAGTCCATATGCGTTTTGGGGACATACATACATACACACATCGATTTTTATAGAGGGTCATTTTTAATTTACTGAAAACCTTTTGGGAATACACTATTTACATCATAAAAACAACATCTGTAACAAGAAAATATTATATTTCTAAAATTTTTAATTTCATACAAACATAAAAATATTTTTATTGCACCTTCTAAACGGTAAAGTTCTAACGTCTGGCCAAGTTTAAATGAGTAAGGGCCACTTCCTACACCCCTCCACCCCTCCCCTCCACCGGTCACGCGCTTTCTTTTGCTAATTGCTGGACTATTACCGTTTAGAAGGAGCAATAAAAATACTTTTATTTTTGTAAAATTGAAGAATTTTTTTTTTTACAGATGTTATTGTTATGATATAAACAGTATATTCCCAAAAGGTTTTCAGTAAATTAAAAATGACCCTGTATATTATTAGATTAATCATCACTTTGCTAATAGGGTATAAGAAAACGTTTTATGGGAACCTGCTAAGAGAATCTACCTTAAAAGAGCTTAATTTTTATAATGTATAAGTCTTTTGACCTTTAAATTTTGATTTTTCGATTTGATTCGACCGACCTACAAAACCTAATTTACTTTGTCTGACGTAAACTGAATAGGTACAGAGTATCTTTAAAGATTTTTTATAGAGTTAAAATATTTAAAAACCATTCAGTAATTCGAAAAATGAAGCTAAAATATGAAACATAATAACAAGGAATATTTTTTTAAAATTATTAAAAATTACTATCTACATCTTAAACAGTATGTAGTTGTATACGAATTACAAGGTCCATAATTATATAGTAGACGAGTACTAATTGGACCGCATTTATTTAAAATCTAAAACTATTTCAAAATATCACAATAAATACATACATACATATTAATATTATATGATATATATACATATTAATATTATGTTTTTAATAGAAAACTAACTTTAATAAAATACAATTATCAGCAGTGTGGTAGCCCAGTGGCAACGCGTTCATTTGGGAAACCGAGTGAAGCGGGTTCGAAGCCCGGGCTTCGCACTTCTGGTATTTTCATGTGCGTATCATTTCCAACCATATTACCGCTTATCTTACGGTGAAAGAAAACATCGTGATGAAACCTGCACGTCTGAGAGAACCTAGCAAGTTTTTGAAAGACATGTAAAGTCCGCCAACCCGCACTTGGCCAGCGTGGTGGACTATGGGCTGACCCTCCTCGTATTGAAGAGTCCGTGCCCAGCAGTAAGACGTTAAATAGGGCTGAATACCAATTTCAAAAATGAAATATGAACTAGAAGTATTTAAAATTAAAGCTAATTTTAAAATTTTAATTTTACATATAATGAATGCATTTTAAAATAGAGTGACAATACTAATTATAAACTTTCGCAGTGAAATGTTAGCAAATTAGCGAAGTTTATAAAATAACACACAATCCCTTGTCCCTCGAACATTACTCATTTTATTATGTAGATACGACCATGTTCATGTAATACTACGAGTATGATATATCTTTCAGCTTTTTATCTCGAACGAAAGAGGTTTTTAAATAAATTTGTATGAGACAGGCATTTTTATATGACTAATGTTTCCCAAATTTGTCAAAATATTACCCAAAATGGTGGAAATTCAACTATAATCACAATTGTTAATTTGAGGAAAATGTATATGAATAGAATTCACCAATCTATATAAAAAAAACTTTTTCCAAATTTTTTATTGATAACACTAAAAGCTTGTCAATACACAAAAAAAACAGTTGAAAAACAGAGAAGATAATATTGAACTGTTGACAAACAGAGATAGTACAGATTGTATTGATTTTGATTTTTCCTATTTATATATAGATACTAGCTTTTTCTAGCTCGTCCGCTCGCTTAGATTATCTATTTATGGATGATTACTTCTCTAGACCACCGAGGCAGTTAGTATGATAAGCTTTCATACAAAATTCTAACCGCCTTTTTCCCCACTTTTGAAATCTCATGATTAAGAAACATTTTAAACAACATTATACTAAATTTATTATAAAAATTTAATAATAATAAATATTTTGTTTTAAAAATTAAGTAAATACGTGTTTAGTATTTTTCGAAATTTATCCCATATGAGGGTAAAATAGGGGATGAAAGTTTGTATGAAACCTACTTTTTAGAGATTTTCCACCGCGGGTTCTGCTAGTAATAATATAAACATTTTGAATCGCAATTCAGCAAGAGTTGTTGAAAAGACAAACTTAGGTGTCACAATAACCTCTCTAATAAAATAAACAGTTCAAACTTCATACATGTTTAAATACGAAAGCGAACCTGTGACATTCGCTATATAAATCTTTACTAAGTAATTACCACTGCGCCAGACCACTCACAGTTAGCAAAACTGTTCTAGAAAAAACTTCAACGCTTTCATTATAAGTATGAATAATCAAATTACTCTGTGGCTGATTTTACCGGCAGGTGTGGGGATGAGACCGTAGACCGTGACGTGGAACTATTGTAATATTTGCTAGTAAAAAGTTTTAATAGATTCTATTGATTTTTTCTTAAATATTGCAAGTGGTGGCTCTCCGATATTATGCAAGACGTAATTTAGTTTCGTTTTGAAAAATGATAAGTTAATCTAGATTGTTAAATTATCTAAAAATCTGACCAAATACAAAATATCTACAAAATGTCACGTAAAGTTTTAAAAAGATAATTTTTGAGCGAATAAAAAGGTTGGTGTAGCTTTTTTTCACTTTTAGATAGTTTAGCATTGTACATATATGTTTTAGATTTAATCTACTTATTTTTTTTTCAAATGTATCATACAGCATAGACCGTGAGCTCCTTTATTATTACAAGCTTTTATTTGAAATGTTTGTTTGTTCGTGTCAAATCTTGCAACTAATTTTAAAGCAGTTATCGTCAACCGATTGAACTGAAATTTTTCAGACACGTTTAGTTTGGACGACAATGCGTGGTTAGCTAAGTGACGTCACTCTAAATACGACATGGCGGATTCCCATGATGGCGGAGTATGTTTTTTATGCACTCTCATGGTATATATATCAAATGAAAGGTTTTGCTGAGAAGTAAAAACTAAAAAATGAAAATAAATTAGTAGTAAAAAAGTATTTCTAAAACAAGCTATTATTTAATTGCTCTTAAAAAAATAAAAAAAAACTTTAAATTAAATCCAACCCAACAATTTATTATATATTCCACAATTTAATTCATACATACGTAAAACACAAACGAACCTATCCCACGGGAACCGTATATTTTTCCGAGATAAAAAGTAGCCTATGTATTATTCCAGACTATAATCTATCTCTGTACCAAATTTCATCCAGATCCGTTCAGCCGTTCTGGCGTGAAAGAGTAACAAACATCCATACTCACAAACTTTCACATTTACAATATTAATACGGATAAAATCTTGTCGGGAGATTTACCTGTGTATATAAACAAAAATTCAATATGTAACTTGATCTTGTCATAAGCAATTCTAAGAAAAAATAATATGTCTATTCTTTATAAAATAGCAGAAAAATCTTCTACACGTGAAAACACTTATGCCTTAAAATTTGAAAGCAATCGGTGAAAAGCTTTCGGTGTTATTCTGCTTGGCATTATTCATATAAAAAACATTTTTTTATGTTTTATCTCACTGTGTAAGAAAATATTTTATCAATTAAATCTATAATCACTCGTGGGAGTAACGAAATGATACTCGATTTCACAGAGTTAATTGAAATTTATCTGTATCATTATACTATTATATTACGAAATTCTAATTAGCGTGATCAGTATTCACTTGTAATTAGTTAAATTGTTTCTATGGGGAAAGTACCTGTTCACTTTACCTTTTTTTCTAACCCCTTCTTCATGGAGCGTCGCGGGATCTCTTACGCACTCAACCGCGATGCTCCGACGGAAGGTCTGCCGAAGCAGACCACACGACCAAGGGGTTTCTCCCATGGTCCACTCTACTATCAAGAAAGCACCAGGAACAACCCGTATGACAAATGACCCACCGAAGTGGGCCACCTCCTAGTGACGCTAATGAATACACAATATGATTATAATGAAATTATAAGTATTCCGTTTTTAACCTTAAAACGTTTTTTGATGTAAAAAATTATGATACAACTTCATAGCACTACAAAATTAATCAGATGCTCTACTTAAAAACATAATTGATTCGCAAAGCATTTTCGTGTATGACAAAATAGCTATCGGCTTTAGAGGTCACACGATTGGTCACAAGCAAATTTCTAAATAAATAAATAAACTGACGGACATTTACGACAGAGCTAAAAGAAGAAAGATGAATATAATTAAATCAATGACCTCCAGAGTTTGTCAACTCATCTATTTCGAAATTTTTGATAGCATTTAAAAATTTTCATCCCGACGCGAATTAGTTTTAATTGGATAGAAAATGGTTTTAAAATAATTATTAAATTTTTAGACTAAAATAGGGATTTCAGTTAAAATTCTGTGATTCTTTTTGGTAATTTATATAAATGTATTAACTTTATCCCTCACTGGGAGATTCGATTAATTAATTATAATCTATACTAATTTGATAAAGCTAACGACATAATTTGTTTTTTTTTTTGTTTATACACACTTTAAAAAATTTCATTAACCTTCTAATGAACCTGCTTTCGTCCACTGCTGGATATAGGCCTCTCCAATAGCACGCCACTGAGCTCGATCTTCAGCTCTACGCATTTAACCGCTGCCAGACACTTTGCGTATATCGTCAATCCACTTTTTGATAGGATGGTCTATTTATTGAGGAAGTAACATGATCGAAACAAGTATTGAACACTTATGGTAATCGAACCTATGATCTTTGGTGCCATACACGTACACTACTGTTCCACAACAGACCTTAGAATTCATTATTTGTCACGGAATATTGCGCAAATCGTAATTTACTAAAGATAATTGAAGATGAAAGTATAAAAAAGAAAGTTTAAATAACAAAACTGCACTGTTTGAACATAACAAAACTTTAACAAATTATTTTATTATTATACATTTTAATGGTTAGCATAGATTTTTCAGAGATGACATATTTTCCTAATGTAAAAAGTATCCTATATGTTGACCCGGATAACCAACCATCATCATACCAAATTTCATCAAAATCTGTTTAGTGATTTTTTCGCAATGCGTTCTCAGACAAAGAAACAGACAAAAATTCTAAAAACTATAGATTCAAACGATATAGATAATAATAACTATTTCAATAATGATTTTCCGAAAATATTTAATGTACAAATTTGACTCAGTTACAATTTTATTATATGTATAGTGTAATGGTAAATTAAGTATTTTGATATGACAATAGATTGTATTGTATCTTTAGAACATATTCTATTGGATTACGAAAGTTTGTATGTGTGTATGTTTGTTATTCTGTTAGGTACCTAAAGGTAAAGTAAATTTTATTTATTTACTTTGGTCTATCTGGTACATCGACTTCAAAATTGTATTTTGAACAGCGGCTTAGAGAATATGACTTATTGCCCTTGCTTTGAGGCAATGCATATTAGCTATAAGTGGCTGAATTTTATTATATTGTTATATTATTTATATCAATTTCCATACGCAATAATTTGAAATTTTATTTATACAGATGTATAAGTATCAAACATCGATGTAAAGAAAATAATTTAACCTCTCTGTCTAATTATTTTAATTAGAAAGAGATGTAATAAGAATGAAATTTTTATACACTTAATAATAAAAAAAATGACTGATAAAAGTGTCATGACTATAAAATTTATAACTTTGGTAGGTGGCGGTAAAGAAACAAGTGAAGAGCACGAGGAGACACACGAAGAACACGGCAAGAAGGCGTACGAGGTGAGCTCTACATACTAACATGCTTATTGTATATTAATAAAATCTATAACTCATATTTATATAATACTTTCTTAGATTAAAAATCTCAAATATTTGACACTTTGATGCAATGCTTTACAACAAACATGGTCACGGGAGAGACTAAAAACGGGAACGAAATTCAAAATAAACAAGCGAAAAAAACCGATAGTTTTATTCATATTTATATATTACGACCGCTAAGCATATATAACATATATATAAGCATATATAACATAAAATAATTAACTATTAAATATTATATTACTGTAAACACCGACAGTAACTGAGACGTTGAATTAATTTAATATTATTTATGATTTTGTATCGGCAATATAAACAGACATTTAAAAAAAAAATTTTTTATATGTATTTAGATTTAAATATAAGGACTTCCATACAATCTTTAAAGGACAAATATTCTGAAATCCTTAGTGCCCTTCGACTTATAACTCTCGTAGAAAATTTCATGCTTGTAATTCAGCGGTTTATTTAGATGGTACGTTATCAGTTATTGTTAGTGTTATTAACTAAATATTAGCGATCTTTTCAGACGTTGCCTAGCTAGAAGTCATAAAACAAACATACATATATATACATACATATTATTATGAATATTTATTCTCTTATCGTACGTTCAATTAAGACTATTAAATCACGAACTATCCGATATCAATCAATATTAAAATTATGATTTTTTTATCAATTTTTTTTGCCAGCAACTAAAAGTTTCAAAGGTCTCTGATATGAACTAATTTAATTCGTTCATGGTCTCTGATATATGTTTGACTTGTATGTGTCACATTCCAATGTATAGTAATTTACTTAAAATTAAAGACATACGTTAATTAAAGTTAAATCTATATATATAATAAAATTCTAACTAAGTCGAATCTGTACATTAAATATATTTTTTTTAAATCTTACTGAAATAGACATTATTATCAATACAGAGGCCGAATCTATAGTTTTTAGATTTTTTGTCTGTTTATTACCGCGGGAAAATGTTTCATTTCTGAGAAAAAATACAAAAACTGCAATGTAAGAGTATACTAATATGTAAAACTTAAGAATTTGGTTTTTGGTCATCTGAACGCGGGCGGAGCCGCGGGCAATGCTAGTAATAAAATAAAGACATAGTAAAAAATTAAAGAAGAAGAACGATTACATATTATGTACATATATACCTACCTACGTAAGGTCTCGTTGATTACCACGTACGCCTAATTTCACATAGTATGATAATAAAAAAGCCTTTAATAGTTGTTGAGGCTTTCACTCTTCTCTTTGCAGTAATATTATTATTGGAATTAATTCAATAATATGACACACAAATTGACATAATATGTATATTGTGTGGCTCCTCTAAGATTTCGCTTTTTATATATAGAATCTTAAAAATCTATGCCACATTCTTTTCAAAACAGAGCTTTGCTTTTTGAAAATCTATTTTTTTTTATTAATTTATCTATACATATAAATAAAAATGAATATTCCTATGTTTATCCTCTATGCCTTCCTAAAACATTGATCCGATTGTGATGAAACTCTGGTGGCTTATTCTGTATACGTTTTCGGTTCCTGGCGCAAAAAAAAGATTTTTTGTCTTTTATGCGTTCGTAAACCATTCAAGCTTAGGGTCTTAATTTATAACAAAAATGATATACTTTAAAAAATCACTTTAACTGACACCTCCATTGTACTCTTTACGGTGGAAATAACAAGATTCTCCAAAATTGAAACCGAACTGACAATACTTATATTAATTAATTGAATTGGTGGTTAGTTATGCGGGTTCAAGTCCCGGGTCGCGGACTTCTGAGATTTTCAGGTGCGAATAATTTTAAACTCTGAAATCTGCATGTGTGAGAGAACGTATTTCTTAAAAAACGTAATCGTCTAACTTGATCCCCCTCGTATTGAAGTGAGCAAACCTAGAGGCCTGTATCTAGTAATAGCCCACTTTATGCAATAATTAAAAAAAATGAAAAGAAAAACTAAGAACCTTCTTTTTTTGAAATCGGTTAAAATATATCACCCAAAGAATTGAAATATAGATTCGATATAATATCCCGAGCTATCTACGTACATTCATGAGACAGGTAAGTCATAAAAGCTTTCGAAAGTCAATAAACACACTTTTACGACGGCGACGAACGTGACGATTACGTTACGTTTTACGGTTACGTATAATGGAACGAATGTATCAGTTTTGTTACGGCTGTTTCGTGAATGGCGTCTGAAATTGTTAAGAGATTAGCTTTTACTGATCTTATAATATCTTATTTGTTTTATTATTTTCATCTTAAACTGGAGCTTTTATATTTAATTATCAGGATTTTAAACGTTGAATAAATTGTTAATAGTACTACCTGTACCTACCGGTGGTAGGACTCTGTTTTACCGGTAGTAGAACTCTGCCAAGCCTAAGCAGTCCGACTGGATTGCGACTTACTCTCCCTTCAATGGGATGCATGGATAGGTATCTATGTAGCCCATCTGTGTATTAATTAGTCTAAGTTTAGTCGTATAACTGTAGCTAATCAGCCCCCAAATGACAGCCTATTTCGAAACTAATGTTTCAATATCGATTTACAAATGCAATTTAATGCAATGAATTGATTTGAGCTGAGATATGGAAAAAATGATCGTCAAAAGTGTCATAACTCAAAAAAAAATTACCAAGACAGCTCTGTGGTAGCGCGTTCACTTGAGAACCGCACTCGCACCTCTGATGTTTTCATGTGCGAATTATTACCACTTGTTTTACGGCAAAGGAAAACATCGTGAGAGAATCTGCATATCTGAGAGAACCTAGCAAGTTTTTGAAAGTGGTCAGCGTGGTGGACTGAAGCCTGATTCCCTTTATATTAAAGGGAGACCCGTGCCCAGCAGTAGGACGTTAAAAGGGCTGGATACTAAACGTTTCCTTTTAAGTAAACTTTTTTGTTCTCTTTTTAACGTGGGTTTATTTTTATTTTGATTTTAAGTCCCTGACGTTTCATAAACTTTACAGGAAACATGGTATCGAAAGACTAAAATTTTTGACGTCACAAAAGTTCTAATAATTGAGAATATCCAAAAATATGAATGACAAATATTCGCTCAAAGAAAGTCATAATGCATTTGCAGTAGAAACTAAATAATCCACCATTAGGGCTGAATACTTGAAATATGGGTCTACCCCAAAAGTAATTAAATTAAAATCACCATTTAGAAAATATCATAAAACACTCAAATACCTCTTTTCTGAAGTCGGCCAGAACTGAAATGAGATATTTCAACGGTTCTATTTTTGGTTTATAAAAGTACGAATCCATCGAGATCTAATATCGCGGTATTGGTATTTGCAAACAAGTGAACTCAATGGTCTGTGATTGCAACGAATGTGAATGCTATTTGATTACGCCTACTAAATATTGCTATTTATTGTTATTGAAAAATTCATATTGTATTAATATGACGACACGTTTGGCTCAGTTGGTAGTGACCCTACTTGATGTGCCAGCGGTCGCGGATTCGCGTCCCGCTGATTTTCATTTGTGTGATGAGCACGAATGTTTGTACTCCAGTCATGGGTGTTTATATTTATAATATGTATGTATTTAAAAGTTATATATGTGTAGTGTATCAACTATCTGGTATCCATAACACAAGCCTCGTAGCTTACCATGGAACTAGATGGCGCTGTGTGTTAATGTCCTAACATTTATTTATTTAATAACGTGCTGTCGTTCAAATTGGCTTCCCTTCAAGATGTTTCATAGGTAATTAATATCGTGGGGATAGATCGTAATTTAAAGTACTTTTACATGGCAATACTAGAAAATAAATAAAACTTTGAAAATTGGGCAGGATCTGTCGGGTTAGCTTCATATAATATAACATGTAGAAAAGCCGATCGGATTCTTCATCGTAACATACACAAAACTTACACAAACTCCATTTTCATACAATTTTCATTAATTGCTTTTTGACATTTTCCATACAAATTAATCCAAATACAAGTAATAAACACTTACACAAAAAATCATGTTTCTAGATCTAAAGACTTATTACTATTATATATTATACATATATTATATATATATATATATATATATATATATATATATATATATATATATATACTTACAATAAAACTGATGTAAATTATTTATTGATGTATTCTAACTAAATCCCTAAAACGGACGTGTCTAGGTACTTACTGTGATCCTAGACTGCCCCTAGGGTACTGGTACTTTAGTAAGAGGGATAAAGAAGATATAATCATATTACATCAAAATACCTTTGACGCATAAATAACAATATTTAATTGTTTTGAATAAATATTATGTTTAACTTTATTAAATCTATAATAAATTGAAATTTACTGCAATCATATACGGTTATTATTGAACTAGCGACTCACCCCCGCTTCGCTCGGGTTCGTGCCTAGCTTGATTCCCCATACAAACTGTCATCCCCATTATCACCCCCGTAAGGGATGATTTCCGGGATAAAAAGCATCCTATATCCTTCCCAGGGTCTAAGGAAAACCAACTGAACTGGGTATTTCACTTTTTACGATTATATATACTCGTAATTTTTAACTTTTAAAAGATCGGTTCGATTTTACCAACTAACAAACAATATAAATTATTAATTATATAAAATAGAATTTACATGTATTATTGTAGATTCATTATTTTATTTTTATGTTGACATTCTGATATAAAATACTTAATTGAGTTTTCTGACGTTATCATCTTGAGTGGAAAAAGGGCGGGAGCAGCGTTGTATTTTGTTTCATGACTTTTAAATAATGCGTCCTTCATTTTTGTAATGTCGTTTGAGGCGTTACTCTGACTCTGTATAAAATAATAAAAACTGTGTGCTGTTACACCGAATTTTGCTTGGCCTCTGACCTACTTCTGAGATAGACTCGTCATGATTTTCTCCTGACAGATTCCGGCCACGGCGGCCAATCTCATTGAGACTAG